CTTAGGAAAACAGTTTTCCCTTATACGACTCATGCTTAAGGGGTTGTGTACATGTCTGATTTCTTAGGTCGAGTTTTGAAATGGGAAGGAGTCAAACCGGACCCAATGGAGATCACCCTAGTTAATGACCCACCCCAAAGAACAAATTTGAGTTAAAATAGCTAATGGGTCAGATTTACTATATCGACCAAAGCTTAATGCATTTTAATATCTTATTGAGATATGACAAAGATCACATTTATGGATAAATAGGGACATCATTATCTGGGATTTGAAACAATTAAGTCTTAATTCCAATTACCATTAATAGGTCGTATCAATTGACAGAAATCACATTAGATTATCTTTAATGGATTTTCGTATAAGGAAGACCAAGACCACTACATAAGGAGAATAATGCAAGTGAGACAGATAACACAATGAGAATAAACTTCGGCTATGACTTTATTTTATTAGTCATCACTAATAAAATTATCATTAATATATGAGTACGTTGTGAATGAAGAAAAGGTATAAAAATAAAATGCAATTAAGCTAAAATTTATTTGACCAGTTTATCTATTATCAACAAGGTAATCAAAATCGGACCAAACATCGAACCGGTGTACCTATGAGTTCGGGATTTTAAGGTTAGACCAGAGTTGAACCCGAAGGACATGCAAATATCGAACATGACATTCTTTTAGGAGAAGACCATTATGGTCGAACTAGTATAAATAGAATCTTAGTGTTAGGCTTTTAGTGTGTTCAAATTCAATACAAATACTCAATTTCACTCAAAGTACCAATATTTACCGAGAAAGGAGTTTATGAGAATGTACGTATGAATCACCAAGTTTTATTCAATTATCAATTTATCTTTACAAAAGTTCTTTTAATTCCTTTTACATTTAAGTTGAAATCTCTTTACTTTCCTATTGTTACTTCACATAGTTTCACAATTACTTACCAATTGACCATTACATTTGAAAAGATGAACATTTGAAAATCATAAATAATCAAAAACTAAACACGTCGTCTCAGGATCAATCTAGTTGATCATGTAAGTAACCAAAATATCTTTGTTTTTGGAAGACTAACACTTGTTTACCAAATTCCAGGGTAAACACCCTCATGTCAACGTCTATTAACAGAAGTTGATGTGGCATGCCAGCGTGGCAAGATGTTGACGTGTCATGCCACATGACTAAGGTCAACATCATACTTGAACCCATTAAATTTCGTAGCTAATCAGTTGCTAAAATCATAGATAATCTCTAACAAATTCATTGTAGAAATTCTAGTTTGAAAAAACACAGATCAATTATGAACATCTTTAGTTGTTTAGCAGGTTAATTTTATTTGTAAAGGAGTTTCTCCTATAAGACACAATTGGTTTTCGTAACACATGTTATTATAACCACATTTTCACCATTACTTGGATTCAACAAGATTTGCATATTATCCTTAACAATAGGCTACTATAACCACATTTTCATCATATTGTCATAGACCATATTAGCCTTCTATATTTGTTTATATTTTTGAAGAATTTTAATTTCATTTTAGTATGGTAATTTATAAACCAGTTTTACTTGCAATATCTCTTTCTTTAAAATATAATTGAGGTTAGAAAATATATCCAAAATTTTCGCATTGAATTTTTTTATATTTTTCTAAACAAGAATTCCTGCAATGAAAATATAATCGAAATTTGACATATTTAGAGAGACCAAAAACATATTTAAACTTTTAATTTTTTTTATAATTTTTTATATTTTTAATAGGTTAGGTAGATAGACTTAAAATTTTCATTTTAATATAATAATAATAATAATAATAATAATAATAATAATAATAATAATAATAATAATAAGAACAACAACAATAATAATAATAATAATAATAATAATAATAATAATAATAATAATAATAATAATAATAATAATAATAATAATAATAATAATAATAATTTAATAACTTAATAATTTTATTAATTATTTGTTCACGATATCACCTTGGCATTTCCTCTTCTCATATGTTATATTTTTTATTGTATTTTATTTTATTTATCTATAATGTATTATTATACAAAATCTATTTTTATTCATCAAATGAATAGGAATAACTAAAGAAATGAAACATTGTTTTTATTTGGGTTTTTCTACCGTAATGTGTACTATAGTGATTGGAGAAAAAAATTTAAATAAAAAATTATTTGATTCAAAATAATTTTTTTAATCATATTTTTATAAATCAAAAGTAAAATCTGGTCTAACCTTACAAATTGTCTACACCGTAGATTTTCTGATTTTTAATCGATTTTTGATCGATTTTCCGATTTAAATCTCAATTCCTCTACATACCGATTTTCAAGTTTGAATAAGCCAATTAGAATTCTAGTTTCCAGTCCAACCGGTTGAACCCATCAATCCGATTCATTTTTTTATAAGATGGAGGCCTAAACCCAAATGTTCAATTCAATTTTGATTACCATGATTATCAACCAAATTTATTTTCAATTCAATCTCATTTAAGATGATAAATAAAGGTCTCTCTACAAATTTAATCAAAACTTTTATATATTAAATTTAAATCTAAAAATCTAGCAATATTAATTTTTTCATCTTTTATTAATGTGCAATTGATGTAAATGTCATTGCATCCATAAATATAGAGATAAGTAACTTTATGAAAAGAAGTTCCATTTGCCCTTTGAAGTATAAATCTTATACTTTTCCTAGCGAAGGTGGGTTCTGCTTTTAGAAGAAAAGCTTTGATGAGATGACTTTCTCATATGATCATATTAACTCCACATGAGATGTGGAGTGGGCAAAGTCGGTGGGTTCCCAGAAACTGTTCAAATTTCTCAACACTTATCTGATAAGTGACGTTGTCTTGGATTGGGTCCTATTCAAAGGTTTTGATGCTTTGTCTAAAAAGGAAGGGGACCTAAATGCTGATCTAAAAAAGGTGCATGAGGGTCATGAGCTTAGTCAGACCATCTTGACTTCTTTCAATGAGAGAATAACTGCTCTCGACAAGGAGCTAGTTAAGGGCAAATACCACATCTGAAAAGGTCGGACGAGAGAAAAACAAATTGTTGGAGAGAGAAAACTAGTTGAGCCAAAATTTACCTCTGAAAAGGTCGCTTAAAAAGGATCATCCATTGAGGCACGTCAGATAATGGTTGACCAACCTCGAGTAAGCATCTCGCCCTTACACGACTTATGTTTGGGGAATTGTGAACTTGTTTGATTGTTGTGTATATGCCTTAGGAATACACTTCGCCCTTATACGGTTCATGCTTGAGGGGGTGTGTATATGTCTGGTTTCATAGGCTGAGTTTTAAAACGGAAAGGAGTCAACCCAGATTCAATGGAGTTCACTCTAGTTAATGACCCATCCAAAAGAACAAAGTTGAGTTAAAATAGCTAATGAGTAAGATTTACTATGTTGACCAAAGTTTAACGCATGTTAATACCTTATTGAGATATGACAAAAAAAAAACACATTTATTAATTATGAAGGATATCATGATTTGAGATTTGAAATAATTAAGTCTGATTTCCAATTACCATTAGTATCTCATATTAACGGAGAGAAATCACATTATTATCTTTAATGAATTTTCATATAAAGCTGACCAAAACCACAACATAAGAAAAATAATCCAAGAGAGAGAGAAATAACACAATGAGAATAAACTCTATAACTTTATTTTATTAGTCCAATAGTAAAATTATCATTAATATTCGAGTACATCGTGAATGAAGAAAATATATAAAAAAAACAAATTGCATTTAAGCTAAAATTTATTGTGACTAATTTATCTATTATCAACCAAACTTATTTCCAATCTAATCTCAATTAAAATGATAAATAATAATAAAGGTCTCTCTACAAATTTAACCAAAAAAACTATATTAAATCTAAATCCAAATATCCAACAATATAAGTTTTTTTTACCTTTGATTATGATCAATATCTAAATTAAGACATTAACCAAAACAGAAAAAAAAAACACCATCCCACATTTTATGAGCTGAATTGGTTGTACTGTCATATAGTTAACAGTTTTTTAGATTAGAAACATAATTGATGGTTAATATTAGTAAATAAAAACACACAGACAACAACATACATACATAAGACTGTACGAGGGCAAGCCGGACATGGGGCCAACTGTAATCGAATAGATCACCGTCACAACATTTCCCAAATTCAAATCAAGACACCGCATTTCATCCAAAGATTCACAAGGATCTTCCTTTCAACAAATCTCAACATCATTGTTTATTACTATTTCACTACATTTTTTCTTCTATCTATAGCTCTTATCTCTTGTTTTTTGTATCTTCATTTCGATCTCTAGGGTTTGTTCTTCCATTTTCTCAATACAATAAGGTACGTACTCTTTTTTTTTTTAATTTAATTTTTTTTATTGTTGTTGGTTGTTTGAATGAGTTCTTTTAGTTTAAAAAACTTTGCTTTTTTCGTTTTCATGGGTGCCCATTATCGTTTTTTGTATTGACTTTGAAGTTTGAGGTTTGAGGTTTTACTTTTTTTTATTTTTTATTATTTTCTAGGCTGAGTTTTCTCTTTGTTGATTTCTTTATTTGAAAATTGGGGCTTTTGGGTAGCTTAAAGTTGTGTCATTTCGTTTACTTCTCAATTCTGCTACCTAAAAAGGGAAAGTTGTCATTGATATTTGGTCTGTCTTTTTTTGTGTTGCAGGTTTAGTCCTTTCAAGGGATTATAACATTTTTCCTTTGTAATTTGGTTTTGGAGGAGTAGTGGAGGTGGTAATAGAGTTTAAGGAGAAAGATAATAGTTACTTGTTATTGTGTGAATCTGTCTAATATAGATGGTTTATGATCAATTAAGAGTTAAAATGTCACATTTGTTGAGATTGAGAATGATGTTTTTTAATGATGTGTCGAGTTCAAGGATTGAGTTTTTGTAGAGTGGTAACAAAGTGTGAGAATTTGGATTGGATTTTTGTGGTGTTTTGGTTTAGGATGGATCTTAGAAATGGAAAGGAGAAAGATATTGAAGTTGATGTTGAAAGTGGATTGCCACTAATTGAAGATAACTCGAGGAGAGTTTCTAATTCAATCACTGCAAAACAAGGGAAAATGTTGTTCGCGCAATTTTCCGGTGAGTTTGTTGGGGGTTTTGTTAGAGGTGAAGTTGGGCCAAGTTCGTATTTCAATGAGTCGAATTTAGGTGAAGTTTCGTTAGATGTGATGAAAGTGGTGAACAAGATTCCGGTGAAGGAGAATCGTAAAAAGGCGTCGAATAAAAAGGCTGCCAAACCTCCGAGACCTCCGAAAGGTCCGTCGTTAGATGAAGCTGATTATAAGTTGATCAGGGAGATGTCTGAACTTGCGATGTTGAAGCGTGCAAGGGTGGAGAGAATGAAAGCGTTGAAGAAAATGAAAAATGCTAAACCAGCTTCGGCTAATGGCACCAGCGCGTTGGCCCTGATTTTCACCATTATCTTCTTCGTTGTGATAATCTTCCAAGGTAAAACTTGTAGTACAAGTAAATGTTATCATATTTTGTTTCTACCTATTCATATTTAATCTGTTTCCTCTGTTAAGCCGAATAAAATGTTGATAATTTTACTTAATTACTATGTTTGTGAATAGCGAGTACACGAGAAATATCGATGTGACGGTTTGATAAAACTTACCCGTTGAAATGAATTATAGATGTCAGTTTTTATAAATCAATGAGAGTTATGATGAAATTTCGTGCATGTTTGGAATGACGGTAAATTTGTCGAAATCACATTGACACCATATGATTTTGATGAAGCCCAAAAGTGTAGCTTTTGATAGAATCATGTTAGATAGCACTGACACATATCGTGATTCTGCCAAACTCAACCATCAATGGAAAATGTACTCAAATTTTGGTCTGCGAGAACACTTTGGCATTTTCTTTTCTTAATTAGAACTTCCTTTTGCAGGCATGTCATCTGGGAAAAGCTCAGTGGCAAGTTTCCAAAGATCACCTCTATCTGTATCAGGAGGAGGAGGAGGAGAGAAAGGTTTAATTTCGGTTCAGTACCAACTCAATCCATCAAGCGATTCAAATGCACCGGGTGATTCAAATGCACCGGGTTCAGAGTCCCCCAAGTAAGTTGAAGACGCACACTTCTCATTAAACCTCTCAATTCCTGTATCTCGAGCGAAATGTCAGCTATTGGATTATTCTAATGGCCGAGAGATGCAACACTTAACCATTAAGATTAATCCAACAGTTGAAATTTCGCAAGAGGATCAACTTTGTAATATTAAACTTTACAAACTTTTCTAATGTCAAAATTTCTACTTGGTGATTACAGTTTTGTACAGCGGGTAGCAGGTTCAGATTTGAATGAAAAACTGAGGAGAGATTAAGGTTAATGCAATCTTGAAGGACAAAAAGAATGTCAGCATCATCACTTTTGTGTATTTTGAAAAGAGATGGATTAGTTTTATTGTGATTCTCATACAAACTTTTCTTTTTGTCTCAATAATTATCAATTATTATTTATGTGTTGGTAACTTTTCCCTTTTTATGTATATTAATCAATATTGAGGGTGAGTTAAATTACCATGGCAGAGTTACCACTGCTTTTTTCATTAGTTTGCCAAAAATGTGTGGTTACTTTTTAACTCCTATGCAACTTTCTTTAAAATCAATTCTTTTCGCCGCAGAACCTAACACAAGATAATTCTTCAATAAATTAGGAAGAATCAATTTTACTTGCATGTTAAAATATCGTACATTAGGACAGACCAAATCCTCTACATAAGGAAGCTTCGTTGGGTAGGGGACAAGGAACATGTGTTTCTAACAAAAGTGTATCATGTTGATGGAAAATGACTTGTTATTCTTGGTTGCTCATGGTTTTTGTTATTTAAATTTTAATCTTTCTGATATTTCTTTTTTAAAAATACAAGAGTTTGCTAGTTAGTTCCTCAAGCAGTTCCATCTTGCAGCTCTACAAAGTAACATTGAGCAAAAATCTGTTTATAAATTGAGTTGAACTATAGAAATGTTTCTTTGAACAAACAATCCCCTCAATTTTTTTAGTAAAAAACAAAATTAAAACCAAAAACTTAGAACTACAAAAAGGAGGGAACCAAATCAAAATCCTCCAAAAGACTAGCAAAAACAAAAATGAGAGAGGTCTAATATGTTATAATTAAAAACCTCAATGATATACCTAATGACTTCATCCCCCTAGCATAACCTTCAATGTCTAATTCTAATGAAGTCAATTTGTATGTGCACTAGATACCTTCTCTGTATATGTGTGGTAATATAAATATACTTTTCTAGTTATCTATAAACAAGTAGACCTGTTTGAGAGTACATATAAGACGAAAGCAACGTAATAATGGCGTAGGACAACAAAACATGGAGACGTTAGATCTTTATAAAAAATTCAATGGAAGGAAAGCGTAGCAAGAGTTGGATCCTGTTATAGGACGTAGGAGAGTCACACTATAGAGTGGGTTGTTAAATGCAAGTGTGAGTGGTTAAGTCTAACATCCTATAATATGATCCAACATATGATTCAACTATCACTTTTCACAACACCCTTCTTTTCTAATAGAGAAGTTTTGACAAAACTACAAACCACAAAGCATACTAAGAACTCATATCTTCTGAACGAACTAAAAGTTGTTATTCCACTTTGTAGTGATATATTTGTAAAGACTCACAATAGGGAAGAACGGGGCCAAGCCTCATCAGGTGCCCACTTTAGAATATTTAGCCCTGATTAAAAACTTCGGGGTGATGTGTACATGACCTATAACCGCATGTGCAAGAAGTTCTGGTCATGATTCCCTAAAAATAGACAGTCAACAACTTCTTTGTCAATGTGGAGTAGTTATTGCTTCTTAGGATTTTTGAAATCCAAACATAGGCTCCTATAAATAACCTAACCTTGAGGTTGAGAAGATGATTTTGATCACTCGAAAAATACTCCTAAAATACATAGCTTCTCAGTCCATGTGAGTTTGTTCTCTCCAAACCCAACATACCTTCGAAACAAGGTCTCTCATTACCGTGAACTTTCCCTAAACCATTGTCACTATTACTAGCATAAGGATGTGATACATCTGTACTTTTTAGCAAGTATACAGGCACCCACCGTGGGGTCCTGATTATCTAAATTGGGTCATCCTTTTCATTATTTCATCACTTCGACATTCGTCAAAACCTCTATTCCTAGCCTTAACTGCCTTCGGTCATTGTTGCTATGAGGGCACTATTCCCCACACAAGATGATACCAGACGTGACATCAATCTCAACGCCATAGCGCAAATGCGCGCCGTCATGGACGATCCACATCGTCAAAAACAAAAGCAAGAACATGTAATTCCTCCCTCCATACACGTCTACCACCGTCTAATTAGATGCAACGACTAGTTGCACAACGTGCATCACCTCACACATACAATTTTAGTCACCCTTATTATATAAAGGAAAAAACAGATCATTTCAGATATTCAAATCTATTCTCACACTCACATTACTTTTCATTATTTTAATGACTTAGACGTTAAAAAACTAACCTTTTCGGTCATCCCCTTATCTATCGCATCTGAAACTTGTTCTATCGCATCAAAATTTTATTTTACCATTCATCAAATATTTTGATTTCATAATGAAACAATCACTAAATTGCGTCGCAAGATGGAAGTGGACTTAGCTAAAAAACATATAAGTAAATGGAATGAAATATTAAGGAGGATGTAAAACTAGGGTTAAATGTTAAATAACAAAAAGGAGCAAGGCAACCTGGAATAGTTTCACATTTATTTTTCAACACTACTATTATTATATCATTTTTTACTCCTACATCATATTTATTATTCATAAATATTGTGAATAATGACCATAAACAATGACATGAACGTGAACAATGATTATAAATCGGAACATGAATAATACATGAATAATGTATGAATAAGGTTGATTAATGATGTGTAAAATATTGATTAACAATATATAAAATATTGGTTAATATTGTTCATTGTTTGGTTAATAAACTTTTAGATGTTAAAAATAGTTTTTAATAGTAAAATAAAGTTATTTAATAAAATATAAAATATTAGTTAATAAAATGATGAAATTGATTGATCACACAATTTTATATCGGTTATCCTTAATCCTCAAAAAGGTTTATAAAAATTATTAATTTTTTAAATAAAAAAATATTATTTTTAAAATAAAAAGTGAATATATATTTTTTAAGTAGATATATAAAAGGAACATTAAATTTATAGATCAATTTTTTAAAATTTTTTAATATTTAACTTTTTAAATTTTACCTTTTAAAACTAAATAAATGAGATATTACAAATTTGAAATTGTACCAATATAAATATCAACATACAACAAAATTGAATTTTGAGTCTAATTGCAGAAACAAACCATTTAAAAATATAGTTTAATAAAAACTTTCATAAAATTTATTTGATATATTTATCATTATTATTCTCAAAATATTATTAATATTATTTTTTATATTAAATGTCAAAAATTCAAATTATACACATTATTATATATTTTTTTAAAAAATAAAAAATAAAATGAACACGTTAAATTCATAGATCAAATTCTTTTAACAGTAATTATTATTATTATTATTAAGTAATAATATAAAAGTACAAGTATCCTATTTAAATTCACCTGCTAGATCCACTATACAACATAAAAAGGAAAAAGAATAAAAATAGAAATCAGCCCTTCAAAAGTTGCTTAATAATAGCAGAAGCAACATCCACAAGCTTGTGAACAATCCCATTTCTATCTCCTAAAGGTGCGGACACCAACCCAGAAAACTTGCTATTGCAAGAGTTAACTTGTTTGACAGCATCAGAAACACAGTATCCAGCAAACCCAAAGCGGTTCTGGCTAATAGCCTCAGCAGCTTGAGGAAGAGTGTACTTGACAACTGGTATATACGATTCAGCACAGAAAGCCAATGCCTGTTCCATTTCACGGTCAGAGGTTTTCTTGATCAATGCTTCGATGAAGCTTAGTGTGTCGGTTGCGTTTGAGAGAATGTTGGTTACCATTAGTAAAGCTATGGTTTTGAGATCGGGTTTTGGGGTTGGTGGGGTTGAGTTTAGGATGGAAGTGCAGAGGTCGTAGAAGGGTGTTTTTTTGCATATTTGGTCTATTTCATTGGGTTCGGGGGATGACAAGGGAATAGAGCAAGTTAGAACAAGAATGTGAATCGCAAATGATGAAACAATGCTTCTGCTTCTCGTTTTTCTCATTCTGTAAGGACTAGAATGAGAATGAGAATGAGAAAGAGAAAGGTTGAGTACTTTTGTAACTGAATTACGTGTTTAGCACCAATATTTATTTATATTTACGTGTCAATGTAAATAGAGATATATTTTATTTTAAAAAATTAAACTTCATCACATAAATAATTTTTTTTATAACTTTAACACAATAACATGGGCTACTAATCATTGTCGGTGTTTTCTCTTGAAATTCTATGTGTGTTTCCTGTGGTCTTCTAATGTTAAAAAATCATCAAAAGTTTGTTGTTTGTTTTTTTCTTAACCATGGGCTCATATATAAAATGGTTGCTTTTGCGTTTGGTTGAGAAGATACATATATTATTTTTATTATAGTATTATACAATTAGCTTGGTTCCAAAAAATTATTGTATACTATAAGGTTTCAAATTTAAATAAACCAATCAACACCAAACTTAATCATAACAAAATATTTTTAGAAAATTATTTATGATTATTAAAACCACACAAACATCAACACATTGTTTAAGGTTTATTTGGCAGGGTGTCACGAGTCACGGGTGTCTTTATTCACTGGACACAAACTGCCAAAACTATACCTACTTTATTGTTCCCTTCTTGCATGTAAGATGCCAAATTTGAGAACTTTCTAGACATTGCTATCTTCATTTAATTAAAGGATAAAACCACTATCCTACAATTAAGAAAGAAGTTGGGGAAGACAAACACAGGACCACAGTTTTTCTACTGAGATTTCTTTTATTCAGATTTAAAACAAAAACCTATTGATTGATTAAAATGTAATATTTAGTTTTTTTTTTTTTTGGTCAAGGATCGAGGGAGAATCATCAACAATTGCACTAAAAACAAATGCTAACTTTCAACAAAGAAAATAACAGAAACGACAAAACTAGTAAAAGATTTGTTGACTATAGGTTACATTGCACACAAACTTTTGAGATCAAATCTCAACATTAACTTAAATAATTAATAAAGTTCAAATGAACTAGAATTATTTTCGAATTTTTGTGTATTTGACGGTATTTTTAAATTTTTATGTGCATCTTTATATTATAATATTTAGATCTATTTAGAACATGTTTGATAATGGAATCATGCATTATAAATGAATTTCTGCACTAAAAATAAGTCTATGTGTTGACAAATACGATTTATGAGTTGACACATGTACTATAATATAAAAATTTGTAGGCTTTATTTCTATGTGTTGACACATGTTGTCTATGTGTCGACACATGTACTATAATTTTAAACTATGTAGCATCTGTTTCTATGTATCGACACATGACCTTGAACAAGTCGACACATGTCATTATATGTGTCGACACATGACTTATATTTGTCGACACATATTGTAGTTTTTTTGAAAGATTGCAACTGTTTTCAATTTCTAAGCCTATCTTTTTACCTCAAACTTCCACACATATAAATACTTCATACATGAATTATTTTCAACAAGATGAAACTAAAACATACAAAGGTTGATCTTCATCTTCAACCTCTCATCTAGGCATACACATAAACAAACTACACATAATCATTTTTTTGTTTTGGTGCCATCTAGACGTGTTGATAATGTCCAATTTATGTTGATGTACCGATAAATTGGTTTGAGAATCTTTGAGTGTTTCAAATAAGAAAATCAAGTTGAGGTTTTCCTTCAAGATCATTGGTGATCTAAAGGTTTTGGAAGAAATTATGCAATTTGGATTCGGTTGAGAAAAATCTTTGAAGAATGAGATTTCTCGCAAAGGAGTAGCGTGAGACGATTGATCAAATTGGTAAATCTCGGGTTACAAAAGAGTAGCGTGACATAATGGATCAAATTGGTATATCTTGGGTTACAATAATTCACAATTTAGATTCGACAAGTGAAAGCTTTGAAGAACTAAGGTTTCTTGTAAATGAGTAGTGCGAGATGAATTGGTATTGTTGGGCGACTTGATCTTTATGAAGTTCAAGGGGAGAGAACATGTTAGGATTAACATCAAACTTATGGTTTGTGGGATTGGATTGCTACTTTTCTCTTAAAAATAACTATTTGCGAAGTAAGATTTATCATCTCAATTCCATTTGGAATTAGGGACAGATATAGCCATAGTGAGGATAATTGGTGAACTGTCTAAACAAATCCTTTTGTTCTCTCTCTCTCTCTCTCTCTCTCTCTCTCTCTCTCTCTCTCTCTATATATATATATATATATATATATATATATATATATATATATATATATATATATATATATATATATATATATATATATATATATATATATATATATATATATATATATATATATATATATATATATATATATATATATATATATATATATATATATATATATATATATATAATTTATTTTGTATAACAAATTGTTGAATTCATTGATTGTGTAATCGATTCATATAGACATATCATTTGATTGTTAAACATTAATTTGTTGATTACATTACAATAAATTAGATTGTAAGTGGTATTTCATATCAACAAAGACAAAGAAAAAAAATCAAAAAAATCAATTTCACGCCAAGTGTTCGATAATTTGCTCGTTTTAGCTTTATCAATAACTTCATTGAAAATTGGTTAACAATTTTGATCATTATAAAACAATTGATTGAGAAATTATTGTATTTAGTCTTATCATCATTTTAGATTTCATTATGTGATTTATGCATATCCGAATTTCCAATAGTCGGTTCGATTTAGATGACTTGTTTGGTCTAGGCTTAATCTTCTGCTTATCATAGTTTTTGATTTGTTTCCCACTATTACAAATAAAGCATTTAACGTCGGACACGAAATGTATTTTACCTCGGAATTAGAAGCGAGATAAATAAGATCGTCATAAAAAGTAAAGACTTATCACCTCAATGTTTAAAACATCGAGGTATAATTTTATTAGCGCATGAGTTTGAACCTCAACTTCTACACTTTTATTATTTACAAAAACTAGCACATTTTTTATCTCAGTTTATCAAGAAAGTCGAGGGGTTATTAGTTTTTTTTTAAATAAAACTCGTTACATTGTTTACACAGAATATTAATAAAATAATTTGCTTACAAACTACAATATTTACCCAAAGTATTACATTTTTTACACAGAAAAAAATTAATTGTCCATGAAGATCATATGTTGGATCTTCAATTCCTTGATATTTTGGACAAGATCAAATATTGAGAAACTCTTTTCTCCCAACAAAAAAAGGGTAGACAAAAAGGGTTTGATAAATAAATAATTTTCTGCTCAAATAAATATTTAAGAACACAAATCTTAAGCCCAAATAATTTTTCCAAGATATAGATTTTTGATATTCAAATCATATAATTTTAGGGTAGATCAAATTACCGGTGCAGGATATTCTATATGGTTTTGCTTGCATTTGTTTTTGATATGAACAAAAAAAGGGTTAGATAAATAAATAACTTTATGCTCAAATAAATATTTAAGATCACAAATCTTAAACCCAAATGATTTCTCCAAGATACAGATTTTAGATCTTCAATCATATAATTTTAGGGTAGATAAAATGATGGGTGCAAAATATTATCTATGGCTTTTGCTTGCATTTGTTTCTGATATGAACAAAAAAAGGGTTAGACAAAAAGGAGTTAGATAAATAAATAATTTTCTGCTCAAACAAATATTTAAGAACACAAACCTTAAACCAAATAATTTTATGTTCTTACAATACATCATAGAAAACTATTAATGGAAAACACTCTTGCAAACTTTAAACTCTTCATGATCTTATTTGCTTGAGAGACACAATTCTTGATATTCAGAATGCTTTTATAATGGAAGTTATTTATGTTTCACGTGGATCACTAATGATAATATCTTGAGCGTTGATAGTCATGAAATAGACGACAAGAATTTGATTAATGATGTGATAAATATCCTCAATTTTAACGCTAAATGTTCCCTCGGTTTTTAGGAAAACCGACGGGTTAGAACATTTAATTTACAAATAAAAAATATAATTAAAATAGAGGTTTCAATTTTAACGCTAAAATTTCCCTCGGTTTTTAGGAACACCGACGGGTTAGAACATTTAATTTACAAATAAAAAAATACAATTAAAAGAGAGGTTAGAACACCAACGTGGCACGCATGCGTTGGAATCATATCACTAGAATAGCAATGATCAAGTATGTTCAAGTCGTAACTTCTCTTTTGGATTATAAATGAGGATTTTGAGATATTTAAATGTCTAATTACCAACTCATTATGTATTTAAACATTGTTTCAAAGTGTTTTCATATTTTAAACGTCTCATTACCAACTCTCCGTGTCTTGTTTCCTTATTTCAAAGTTTTTTTTTCTTATAAAAAATAGATACAAATATGTTATTTGTTATCAATGAAAAGTATATTGATTTCAATGATTTCGATCATTTTGAACTAAGGAAAATTGTTAACAAATAAAGGTTGAATGGTTACTTTCACATTCTTCATGGCCTCATATACACTAATCTCATTAAAGAGTTCTGGATGAATTCCTTCGTTGTTCCAGCTGGTCATGATAAAATCATCCAGTCATATGTCATTGGCTCTCATTTCTTCATTACTCCATAACTATTTGCTATGACAATCAACTCTGAAGAGTTTGATAGTTGTGTTGAACATTATGAATTCAACATTGTCTATGCAATCCTCCTTCACCGAATTTATGCCATCCAAAATAAGCTCTCCAATCCTGCTTCTCTACTCTCAATTGCAAATCTCCTCCCAAGATAGAAAGACCTGGAAACACTTACCTGGCATGACAAACATCTCTTATTATTCCTCACCTACAACATCACAGTTAATCTTCCTCTTACTGTTTTCAACTTCTTTAAGGAAACGATAAAGACTTCTCGAGAGGAAATCTTTCCTCATACCTTATGGAAGATTTCTTTCTGAACTTTCTATAAGTTAGGGATAGTTAGGGGTAATGTTGAAGTTGAGTGGACTCTGAAGTTTGAATTTGTTGAGTTTTTTTATTT